GGGCTGTGCGAGAGGGAGAACTGCTTCTGCTGTGTCAAAGGTCAGAATTGGTTGGCTGATCCATGGTAGAAGTAATACCATGGTGAAAGCACTGCCATGGCGAATGTAATGCCATGGTGAAAGCAATGCCATGGTGAATGTACTGTCATAGTGTAAGCAATACCATGGTGAAAGTGGTTTCATGATGAAAGTAATACCATGGTATTTGATGGAATCTTCGTCATCACTGACATAGTTGTCTTCATTGTCATCATTTCTATGTTATAATCATAACTTTAAGAGCATTATTATCAATAAATCAAATAATTTTATTACAGCTATAATATCTGCTTATTTCTACTATCAGTAATATCATGATTACACTTTATCTAAACAGAACCTTGTCCTGACCTGAACATGCAGTGCAACGCCACCGGTGGATACTGCAGCCACGATTGCAAGGACGGCGAACTGCCTCTGTCGGGGCTCTGCAAGTACGACAACTGCTCCTGCTGTGTCAAGGGTAAGCACTTACTTATAAGTAGTCTGTATTATTATAAAACTAATAGTAATAGTTTAGTAATAGTAATAATAGAGTTCTACTACTAATATTATTGATATAAGGATTATACTGACAAGAGTAATAATCACAGTCATGAAATCAACAATGATAATCGCCCTGATTTTGGTTATCATTAGCAGTAAAATGATCACTATTCTTTTAATCATCATTATCATTATTGATTCCTCTTATCCTGATGATTAAATCAATATTTTTGTCTTATATCCTGCTGATCTACCTTTCCTGATTTCCCCCAAAAGTATATTGATATCAATAAGTCAACCTCCTTTTATAAGTAAATGCATGATTCATCAATCTAATTAACGCAGATTTATTGTTTTTTTCTGATTACAATGGACCCAGAAAACGTCGAGATTTTAATTCGCCATTTTCATAGCTTCGTATTCTTTTGATTTTTTTTTTTTTTTTTTTGGCATGTAACAGTGACGGCGATCATTCTAACACCAATACACAGTTACACCTTTTTCTTCGCGAGAGAACTTATATTTTAGTTTCAGTTCTTTTTTTAGATCTGATTTTTCTCCAATCCACAGTAGCGACGATAATTCTAACACCAATACACAGTTACACCATTTTCTTCGCGAGGAGAAACACTTGCTTCTTTGTGTCTCTTACATACTATTAATAGTTTTAACATAATACTCCATTTTATCATTGTTTTCATCATCGCTTGTTATTATTGTCATTATATCTGAAATTGCCATTATGGTTATATCGACGTCTTACCTATTTTTTCACTTTAATCATTAAACGTGATACCCACGGCTAAAGCACAGCTTTTATTTATTCTGAATACCATATTGCTGATATTTCATCATTACTGACCCAGCAGCAAGGCACTAAAGCACCTTCTCTGCCGAAACAGACCCGTGTCCAGATCTGAACATGCAGTGCAACGCCACCGGTGGATACTGCAACCACGAGTGCATGGATGGTGAAGTGGCTCTGTCGGGGCTCTGCAGATACGACAACTGCTCCTGCTGTGTCAAGCATCATGGTTCGTTTCCTCTTTGTTGGTACAGTAATGATAGAACATCTGTATTTTTGTTACTAATATCATAAACATTTTTATCATCACTGTTATCATTATTACTAATGTTTCATGATCATTTGATTGTTCATTTAATGACTTCTTTTATGTTTCATATGAGTCTCGCTTCATATTTTACATTCTCAGAATTTTTCAACGAATATAGATTAATGTCATAAGAAAACCTGGCATGAGTTTTAAGAGTCTTCCGCTGAAAGAGATTCCATGAATTAAGATCCATCCTCTCTGTCGAAACAGACCCGTGTCCAGATCTGAACATGCAGTGCAACGCCACCGGTGGATACTGCAACCACGAGTGCATGGACGGCGAACTGGCTCTGTCGGGGCTCTGCAGATACGACAACTGCTCCTGCTGTGTCAAGGGTAATATGCCGTCTTAACTCGTCTGTTTACTTTATATATACATGTCTTCTACAACCTATTTCCACATCCATGTAGAGAGGCTGCATCACCCTTTAAAGAAATCTCGCTGGTGTTGTCTCTCTCTGTTGTCCCACTCTCTGTTACTTGACGCAGTCGATCTATGTTTACTTTAGTCTCCCTTATCATATTCCACGTAACGCTATCTATGATGTTCTCCATGGAACATCATTCTCATCTCGTCTCTTGAGATTTGCAAATCTCAGTCCAGGAAATGCTATCTATGATGTCCTCCAAGGAACATCATTCTCATCTCGTCTCTTGAGATTTGCAAATCTAAATATTGCTTTCCTGCATCTTTCCATATTCTTTATTTTTATCCGCTTCTTGATGTTACCATTCCTCAGAGGGTCTCTTGTATAGCCAATTTTCGGATCTGCAAATCTTCATCTCAGCCACTTCCAGTTTCCTGATTTGAGGGACATTAATTGGACTCTATATTCCATACAACAACGCTTGTTGTGATACCCTGTTGCAAATATTTCCCTTCTAACCTGGCATTTTCTTATTGCAAAGTACACCTGCCTACTTCCAGTTGTTCTTCATGTACTGTTGCCTTGCATATGGATCCTTCACATAGATGTTCCGTTTAAGCATATGTACTTACTTCTAGATCGTAGCACTATCAGGCCTCATTTCTCTGGATCTTCTACCATTTTTTCTTGCCTGCACTTCATAAGCCAAAATACTTCTTTGTGGATATGTTAATGAGTCCCTGATGGTAAACAGGAATAGGTTCGTTTCCTCTTTGTTGGTACAGTAATGATAGAACATCTGTATTGTTGTTACTAATATCATCAACATTTTTGTTCATCACTGTTATCATTATTACTAATGTTTCATGATCATTTGATTTTTCATTTAATTACTTATTTTATGTTTCATATAAGTCGTTTCATATTTCACATTCTCAGAATTTTTCAACGAATATAGATTAATGTCATAAGAAAACCTGGCATGAGTTTTAAGATTTCCGTTGAAAGAGATTCTATGAATTAAGATCCATCCTCTCTGCCGAAACAGACCCGTGTCCAGATCTGAACATGCAGTGCAACGCCACCGGTGGATACTGCAACCACGAGTGCATGGACGGCGAACTGGCTCTGTCGGGGCTCTGCAGATACGACAACTGCTCCTGCTGTGTCAAGGGTAATATGCCGTCTTAACTCGTCTGTTTACTTTATATATACATGTCTTCTACAACCTATTTCCACATCCATGTAGAGAGACTGCAGCACTCTTTAAAGAAATCTCGCTGGTACTATCTCTTTCTATTGTTCCACTCTCTGCTACTTGACGCAGTCGATCTATGTTTACCTTAGTCTCCCTTATCATATTCCAGGTAAAGCTTTCTATGATGTCTTCCAAGGAACATCATTCTTATCTCATTCTTATCTGGCATGAGTTTTAAGAGTCTTCCGTTGAAAGAGATTCCAAGAATTAAGATCCATCCTCTCTGCCGAAACAGACCCGTGTCCAGATCTGAACATGCAGTGCAACGCCACCGGGGGATACTGCAACCACGAGTGCATGGATGGTGAACTGGCTCTGTCGGGGCTCTGCAGATATGACAACTCCCTGCTGTGTCAAGGGTAATATGCCGTCTTAACTCGTCTGTTTACTTTACATATACATGTCTTCTACAACCTATTTCCACATCCATGTAGAGAGGCTGCATCACCCTTTAAAGAAATCTCGCTGTATTGTCTCTCTCTATTGTCTCACTCTCTGTTGCTTGACGCAGTCGATCTATGTTTGCTTTAGTCTCCCTTATCATATTCCACGTAACGCTATCTATGATGTTCTCCATGGAACATCATTCTCATCTCGTCTCTTGAGATTTGCAAATCTAAATATTGCTTTCCTGCATCGTTCCATATTCTTTATTTTTATCCGCTTCTTGTTGTTACCATTCCTCAGAGGGTCTCTTGTATAGCCAATTTTCGGATCTGCAAATCTTCATCTCAGCCACTTCCAGTTTCCTGATTTGAGGGACATTAATTGGACTCTATATTCCATACAACAACGCTTGTGTTACCTGTTGCAAATATTTCCCTTCTAACCTGGCATTTTCTTATTGCAAAGTACACCTGCCTACTTCCAGTTGTTCTTCATGTACTGTTGCCTTGCATATGCATCCTTCACATAGATGTTCCGTTTAAGCACATGTACTCACTTCTAGATCGTAGCACTATCAGGCCTCATTTCTCTGGATCTGCCATTTTTTTCTTACCTGCACTTCTTAAGTTAAAATACTTCATTGATCCACTGTATTCTTGCCTTGCTGCACTTCTTAATCCAATTTTTTCTCTGGCCTCATTTCTCTGGATCTGCCATTTTTTTCTTACCTGCACTTCTTAAGTTAAAATACTTCTTTGTGGATATGTTAGTGAGTCCCTGATGATAAACAGGAATAGGTCAAGATGGTGTCCAACCTCCAAGGGCTCGCTTATTCTTGCTGCACACAAAAGTTATTTTCTAGGCCTTTGAACATCCTGGTCAGGCCTTGTTGCCCCTTTTCCTCACTTGCAGCTGTCTAGGTTTGGATATATCACCTGCTGTGGACTTCCTTTCCCGGAGTGCCAGCTGCCCTTCACTGACGTTCGTGCTGTTTCTCAACCTTTTTTCATGCACCATCTCATAAAGCTTCATGTTCCTGTCTTTTTCATGCGTTCTCACGAAGCTTCGCATTCTCAGTCTTTTTCATACATTCTAACAGAACTTCATGTTTCTTAGCATTTTTCATGCATTCTCTCATAAAACTTCATGTTGCTTAGCCTTTTCCATGCCCTCTTTCATAAAACTTCGTATCTTTTTTTTTTTTCTTAATACTTGTAGACTGAAGTGCTTAGCCATCATTCCTTTGGTATCTTTTCCTCCGGCTCATCCCCAACTAGGGAGCCTCCCCGTCGCCTCGTGCAACTCCTCCCCAACACTACCTGCATCACCCATCAATCACCGTGTGGA